GCTTGATCAAGTAGATGTTTACAATGCCTACCATGGGGATCTGGTTACTTGCTTTCAAAGCTGCAGCTAACCTTTCAAACACTGGGTTTTAAAACCATTCCTTCTCATTTCAGTCCACAATTGTTAAAAACACAAAAGTAAAAACACATGGTCCTTGCATATTAAATGGACACAACACAAAGGGAAGCTATTTGGTCCATTTTGTCAGCAGTATAAAACTAATTCACTGTGTGCGCTACCTTGCAGTATTAGGAAATTACTGTGATGCCAGAAAAAATTTGGATTTAACTTAAATAGGTTAATGCCTCCATCAAAATAGCAAAGAAGGGAATTCTACACTGCAATGGTTTGGATTTTTAACTATGTGGATTTGTCAGTCTATGATGTTTTAAGTATTCAATTCAGCACTGCTTTCTCAACAACAAACTGGCAGCTTGAAAACCAGACTGTTCCTTTGATGGCTTAGAGTGTTAGCTGGTAAATAAAGGTAGGGTGATTATGGACAATTTCAAACACTTGAAGCTATTGTGAGAGAATGGTTTGCCTGCTACACCTGGAAGACCAGGCGTGCTCTATTCCAAAGGGCTTAGCAAAGACAAGCAGGTGGGAGGTAGCCTGCTCCCACATCAAAAGCAAGGCCTTCCACTCAGGGTATAACTTTAATTGATTGCTCAGTGGGCCTAACCCCACCGTACCCCACTCCCCTCATCGCCTTAATGACTTAAGAGTCATAAATAATGACTTAAGAGTCATAAATAATGCCTGAGCCAATAAACTATGAATACTTTACATGCATTTTTTTTTCCATCTTCAGTCTCTACACCCTCATTCCCCATCTGCCCAGTTGTGAGTGCGACCTTTCACAATGGTACAGATACAGTAGCAGCGTGGTTATTTTACCAGACTGGTAATCCAGAGGCCTGGACTAGTGATGTGGTGATGAGTTCATAACTCATGGCAGCTGGGGAACTTAAACTCAGTTAATTAAATAAGAGTCTTGTAATTAAAATGTTTTATGAAGAGCGATTGAGCAGTTTAGGCCTGTACTCTCTGGAGTTTAGAAGAATGGAAGTAGATCTAATTTAAGTACGTAAGATGCTAAATGAGATTGACAAAGTAGATGCAGAAAGGATGTTTCCTCATGTGGGGCAATCTAGAATGAGAGGTCATAGCTTCAGGACAAAGATTGAAAACAGAGCTGAGGAGAAATTACTTCTCTCAAATGGTCGTGAATCTATGGAGTGTGGTGGACGCTTGGACAGTGAGTAACTTTAAGGACGAGGTGGGGAGCTTTTTAATTAGTATGGGTTGAAGGGTGATGGACAGCAGGCAGGAAAGTGAACTTGAGGCTGAGATGAGATTAGCCATGATTGTATGAAATGGTGGAGCAGGCTCAAGGGGCTGAATGGTCTCTCCCTGCTCCCAGTTCATATGTTATTACATTAGTGTTTGTAATAGTGACCAGGAAACCCACCGGCTTGGCATGAAAACCTACCTGCCCACTCAGGAACAATCTCCCCCATCCTTACCCAGGCCTGCCCATTTCTAACTCTTGACCCACTGCAATGTGGTTGACTCTTAACTGTATTTGTGAAATGGTGTGGTATGTCACTCAGTTTATAGACTCTTTTTACGGTCTTTAGTAATATAATTAGCCAGCTTACCACCACCATCCCATGCAAGTTACAATTGTCCAAACCCTCATTTCCTATACCCACCATCTGTGAACCCCCATCCCATTCCCCTTTTCTACCTTCAACACTCTGATTGTGTCGCATTGCAAGTCTTGTTTTTTTTCTCTCTCGCGTCTGATTCCCTTTCTCCTTCCTCTGCCTCCCACTCCAATTTCTCTCTTCACCCTCCAACACAGCTAAACTTGTTCCCTCTCTGGCCCACCTCCAAGTCCCGGCTCTCTCTCCGTCTCGGCTTCAAGTCACTGTCAACGCACAGTGCTGATCCACAATTACCTAACTAGAGTCAGCTGTCTTCTTGTTCCAATTCTCTGTTCATACCAACCCTGCACACTCTCCTTGCTCTGTATGTCCATGTCTGTGCCTGTGTATGTGTGTGGTGTGTGTGTGTGTGTGTGTGTGTGTGTGTGTGCATGCATGTGTGTGTGCGCTTATGTGTCTGTGTGCATGAGTGTGTGTGCTTATGTGTCTGTGTGCATGTGTGTGCGCGCACATATGTGTGTGTGCATGTGCATATCTGTCTGTGTGCATGTGCAAATGTGTCTGTGTGCATGTGTGTGTGTGCGCATATGTATCTGTGTGCATGGGTGTTTGTGTGCAGATGTGTGGGTGTCTCTCTCTTGCTTTCTCTCTCACCGCCACCAACAAACTTTACCCCTCTCTGTTTCTCTAACAGCTGTTCCCATTTAACATAGACTTTGGCAGGGACCATCTTCATGGTAACAATGGGGTGACGTCACAAAGTGAGCCAAACCAAATGGGGGTGGGAGTGGGGGAGAAGAAAATGCAAATGTCCGATTCTCCCAGAAAATGGATGGCTCACTCCCAGCAATTTCTGGACATTCAAAAGCAGGTGCTGCCTGATTACAGAGGTTCCAGAATTGCGGAAGCTCTGAGAACCACCCAGCTCTGAAATAAATGAGTAAGGTACCAATTCATTCTATTATTTTGAGAAGGTCTGTGTTTGCATCCCCTGTGACAAATAGCATAATTCCTGCACACTCTAATTTGCATCAAAGCTCCTTTGATTTCAAGCCAACTGTGTTGGTTAGTGCTACCATGGCAACTCAATGGTGTCTATAGTCACTGGAAGCAGTCACCACACAAAGAAATAATTGCTGTCTCAACAAAATGAAAATATTATCATTATATTGCACTAATCTGGGGAGTCTTGTATAAAGCATATTAACAGTAGCACAATGAATTTGAAATGTGTCTTTTCGACCTGCATCCCAAAATAATTAAATGCATTTTTGATGGGACCTAATCAGAGAGAAGTTTCTGGGGTTAACATAATTCTCGAGCCTATAGCTACAACTTTGCACTTTTAATATGGAGAGGCCACATAATTAGCTGGTTGCAATCAATATTTTTGCACTTCTAACATAGTAAGAAAGATGTATTTTAAAGTTTAAAGTTTTTAAACCAGTGAAAAGACTTCGTTTTTTTTTTATTTTTCTATACTTTTAATCATGGATTGAAAGGGGAAAAGAACTATTTTAAAAACCAAAGATTGTTGAAGGATTACTGCAGTTTTTGAAAGCAAGTTATTCTGAACCTCATTGTAAGTACCATTTACACAGCTGATTGTTCAAGCAGTAGCAGGCAGTTTGAAAACAAGCAGGAGCCAAGGGTTGTGTATAAGCCGACCTTTGCTTGGTAACAAGCAACTGATTGGTCTGTGGGCTAATGACCGGTTATCAATGACAAAGGCCTTCTGCCTGCATCAGCTATGTGATTGGTTCCTTGGTAGCTGAACACCTTGGGGCTGTTAGGGAGAAGCCATGAGAAGAGGACACTGATTGGTTGGCAATGTAACTCTGATTGGTCAAGAAATTTCCAAAGAGAATACGCCAGGGAATTATTATCTCCCATACATTTGCTAAATTCAGAAATAACAACTCCTGGACTTGTTCTTTTTGCTTGCAGAGGACAGGTTGATGCTTGTGAGTGTACGTAGCTTCTAGGAACTTCTAAGTGAATCACATTGCAAACGCAATTAACAATCTTAAACTAGTTTCTTATTGTAACTTTTAGCACACAAGACTGACCAGCAAGTGCTGTCGAATCATATAATCACACCTAACATTGCACATTATTTTCTGAGTCCTGAAACCAAAATACTATAAATGCTAGAAATCCGAAATTAAATTAATAATGCTGGAAATACTCAGCAGGTCTAGTGGCATCTGTGGAGACAGAAACAGAGCTAGTGTTCTGTATCTGTGACACAACCTGAAATGCTATCCCTGTTCTTTCTTATCTCCACAGACACTTGCACAGTTCTGCCTTTGTTACCACAGGGTGTGGTTAAGATGATGAACATGTAAGGGGAAGCCAGACAAAGGGATTGAAGGATAGGGCAGTTGAGGTTAGCTGATAAAGAGAGGGAGGAGGATTCTATGAAGCATAAACAGTAGACCTGTTGGGCCAAGCTCCTATGCTGTAAAACACTATGTAATGTCTTGCCAGACAATTTTTCTCTGATAATTCAGAGCCAAAGGCGCTATCAACTCAATGCAAGCACTTTACTAGTGCACAATGGTACTACAAGGAGATTTTCAAACTTTTACAAATACTGTTTTCTTCGTTGGTTCCCAGGCTTTGCTTTACCAGTAGCCGTTACATCACAGTTCAGATGACTGATTAGTTTTCCATCCAATTCTACATCTCTAGTCTATCTATTGAAGCAAGAACCGTCAACATACAAAAATTATTACCGCCATCACTCACTTGGTGTGCCATATAATTCTGCTGACGGGGAAAGGGGTCGAATGAGAACTCACCCAGTGCAAACATCATGCAGCTCCATTTTTGATTTCAATGTGATTGCATTAATTATAAGGGGGAGAAAATGGGCCGTCCCTCCTTAAATACTACAGGTAATGTGCAAATACATAAATGAAGGCATATTCATTAATTATGTTAATGGTACAGAGGTTTGTATGGAAAATTTAAAGTAGACTTAAGCAACAATGTGAAATAAAATAAACAATGGAGATACTGGAGATCTGCAAGAATGTGTGTTTAGTGGAGCTGTTTGCCGAAGTAGCCATTAAGCCCCATGAAGATAGAGCCACAAACATTCATAATTAATTCACAAAATGAATGATTTGTTTCAGTTCTTGTCACTTCTACAGTGTCTATTTCCTGAATGGAAAGAATCTAACTTTTTAAATCGTATGAAAGGTTAGACCATAAGCTGAAGCAAGAATACGCAAAGGAAATGGGGCATTAAACAAGTAACCAGTGAGATAAATGCAACTCTTTAGGATACGTTTCCCTTCTGGTGCTCACAGTTGTAATTACCTACGACCATGATGTTGAACTCAAATCCAGTTTTCATGGCTTTACGCCTCATCTGATCCAGAACTGCTTCAATCCCCACATATCCAAACAGATCTCTTCCGGTGCCATCCTTCTTGCAGTCTGGCGAACAAACAACTCCAGTCTCCTGCATTCTCTCCGCCATGTTCGTTTTCACCTCTTTCAGTTCTAACCCTGTCAAAAAAACAGAGGGGTCAAAGAGTTCAGTGATTTGGCAACAAAAACCCGGGGTGTCTGATGTTGATGATGCAAAGTACAAAAATTATAAAGAATTGGACACATCCACCAAGACATGACGCCCAAATTCATCAACCAAATCCTTTCTCATTAAATTGAGAAATGTCAGTCGTGGTGCAGAATGTCCATCTATTGTAATGAACAAAGACAAAGTTGCCCTCATCCCAGAGCACCACACAGCTTCTCTCTCATTAGAGGGAGATGACTGTTTGTGGTTTAACCTGAGGGTCACCATGCCTCAGGCGAGGGGAGAAGTTAAGAAGATCAATCCTTTCACTGAGACCTCAGCCAGTGCCACAATTGAACCCACACTGTTGGCATCATTCTACACTGTAAACCAGCCATTCAGCCAACTGGACTAACCGACCAACATCAGCAAGAAAGCAAGACCATTTTCTACCCAAAATGACGTTTAGAAACCTCGTTTGAAGCTCAAAATATGTCTTGCTTCTGAATCCAGTTGCAAGTTTGGAATATTGCAGTTTTGCAAATATATGTGGCTTAAAGTTTTAAAATATGCCACATGTAGGTAAGAGTCTGTTTGTGTTTTTTTCAAAGGGCGATCTGTGTGGATGCTGTCTGAACACAGTCACAGACATTTAAAAAGAGAAAGGATTCATTCTTAGAAAATCTTGCAGACAATCACAGCAAGAATGATTGTGGGAAAACGTGTTATGTGAATGGCTTATATAAGTGCACGGGTTTCACAAAGCCCGTTTATTTTTCATAGAAGCTTGTCCAGTCACGCCTGAAGTCTGATTTAGGTGTATCATTTCACAGGCTGTACAAACAACAGACATAATGTGTTTCATTTTCCCTTTTACTAATATGAATTCTTGCATTGTTCATTAATATTTCTCTCACCCATGGGGCCTTACGAAGCAAATACTATGGAATCCTCACCAACCGTCTTTAAGGATAATCCCTGAATTATTACACACAGAACAAAAAAACTTGCATTCATGCAACACCTCTTGCACACTCAGTTCATATCTGAAGGTTTTATAGTCCATTGAAGTAGTTTTGAAGAGTGGTGATGTTGGCAGCCAATTCTGACACTAACAATATGATAAAGGCCAGATGAAAACGAAAGTGCTGGAGATCACAGCGGGTCTGGCAGCATCCACGGAGAGACAGCAAGCTAACATTGCGAGTCTCGATGACTCTTCATCAGAGCTGACAATGGCCAAATGCCTGGTGTAATTCCGTGGCTCTTCTTTGTAACAGTATCATGGGCTCTTCCACGTTTACCTAAGGGAGCAGACAGAGTCTCGCTGAAAGACAGCACTCCCTCAGTAATGCCTAATGGCACCTAGAATTTGTCACCAAATCTGTGCACCTTAGAATTGTCACTAAGAGAGCACTGCACTGTAACCAGCAGCCCAGCTCACATATATTTATAATCTTAAGTGTGCATTTATGCTGTAGTGGCTTAATTTAGCTTTCTGAGGTAGAGGATCTTTCTAGGCTCCTTTTCTCTCCATAAAATCACCTGTAGATAGCACTGTAGGCAAAATCAGCATCTTTAATATCCAGCTACTCTGTACCTCTTCTGTTGTGAAGAAGTCATACTGGACTCAAAATGTTAACTCTGTTTCTCTCTGCACAGATGTTGTCAGATCTGCTGAGCTTCTCCAGCACTTTCTGTTTTTGCTCCAGATTTCCAGTATCTGTAGCATTTTTGTTTCTATTAACTCCTATATGCTATAATGCTCAGGCACTCAATGTGTGTGGAGATGGGGCTATAGCATAGCAGTAATGTCACTAGACTACTAATGTAGCAATGCTAGACAAATGCTCGAGGAACATTGCTTTCAAACCCCATCATTGCATGTGGTGAAGCCCAATTTTAAAAATAAAAAATCTCAAATAAAAAGTTCACTGTGTCACTTTGTAAAAATCCATTTAGTTCACTAATGTTCCATAGGGAAGGAAATCTGCCATCCTTACCTTATCTGGCCTACAGGTGACAGTGACTACAATATGGTTGATTCTCAACTGGCCTCTGGGCAATTAGGGATGGGCAATAAATGCTGGCCCAGCCAGCAATATCCACACATCCCACAACCAAGTTAAAGAAAGACAATACCAACCTTCAGTTATTCACTGGCTATACATTTGTTTACATCAAATTTCTTCTGCACCAACTGAGACAATTTCTATCCTGTATCAGTTTTCAACATTTGGAGGCTGGTTGACTTTAAGTTTCCCTACCTACAGGTCTCTCCTTCTCCCATTGATAATCCATCATCAAGAAACTAAGATGTAGAACAAATGATTGGTGGCTATGCAACTTGTCCAATGATTTCTGCCTGGCAACACAAACTCCACAGTCTGCGCTCTACTCATTGCTACTTTAAAGTGTGCTGCTGATGACAGCTAAAGTGCCACTATTCTAACTCAATGTTTAACAGTGAAGGAAATCTTTCTCTGGTAACTGTAAACAGCTGGGCTCAGAGTCGGCAAGTGCTAAACTCCATTCATCAACGCCACTTCAATCAGAAACTGAGTTAACGGACCGGCAAACAAACTAGAGATGAGCATCTCTCATAGCAGCTGGTATTGCAACAGAAGCCTGGTGAAAAATGTCACTGCTTTACCATGGAAACAGGAAAGTAAAATACATTGCATTCCTCTGACACCTGTTATAGCCTTGAGTCATCCAAAAGCACTTTGCAATGATAAAGTATTTTTCAAGTGCAGGCACTATAGTAATGGAGGAAATCTGGTAGCAAATTCCCATGAGTTAATGTGTTAATTGTGCTATATCTCATGATCAGCATGTCACTGCACCTTTAAGAGACACAGTCTGTCAGTATATCTTTAAGAGACATGTTCATGACATCATCTCTGTATCACAGCATGTGACCTGAGAGTATAAAGCTCGCATTCTCCGTCTTACCTCAGATCATTTAAAGCATAATACCCTACTGGAAGTATGTTCCTCCAATAGGGCTAATTGCCTAATATTAGCTCAGACACATCTGTGGATGAGGAATATAATATCTGTGTATAATAGTTAGCTATGACAAAGGCTGGATTTTTCAATACCATATTACCGATAACCCCTTTTCTGAAGAAGGATCCCGACCCAACGTCAACTTTCCTGCTCCTCTGATGCTGCCTGGCCTGCTGTGTTCATCCAGCTTCAGGTTGTGTTATCTCTGACTCCAGCATTGGCAGTTCTTATTGTCTCTGAGTGAGTGATACCCATAACCCAGTTTCTTAGGTTAAGGGAGATAACATGGGCTTTGCCACGTCAGGTGAAACCCCTTGCTGGAGGCAAACTCATGTCAATAATAAACAGATCATCTGTTTTTTTTTCTGTTGCTGGCTAAGGGCTAACTGTTGATCAGGAGGTCGGGGATAACTCCCGCTCTTCAAAATAGTGCTGTGGGATATTTCACTGTCCACCCGAGCTAGCAGATGGGCCATCAAAAGATGGCTACTCCAACACCGCATCGTTCCCTCAGGACTCAGCTGGGAACAAAATGCAGGATACGTTCCATTATCTGGAATCTAAACTATGCTCTGGACAACTGATGTTTCTGACGTAAGTTTAGATGAAGAGGCTAAAACAAAGACTGTGACGTTCTCCATTCCTTTGCACCATCTCCTGAACCATGTAATCTCCTGAAACTGCGAGAGACCCTTCATCGAAACTCCAATTACAATATCTCGGGACAAAGCTCCATGATATAATACATTACTCATATTCCTGCACATGATGGCTTCTCATCAGCCTGGGCTGTGAATGGCCCCACATTTAGAGCGTGACCATGTGTGGTTTTCAGATGATTCTGAGTTCAGTGCATGGAGTTATCAACAATAGTTGACTGAATTACATGAAATGGGCGTGAAATCAGTGAAATATTCATGACCTCATGGCTCTGGCACAAGAGACAGTGCAGAAGGCTCAAACAAAACACTGCTAACATTGTAGTGGTGTGGATGGGTGCCAGGGCAGGAGAGGGCACGTACAGAGGTGGGGTGGGCCACCAGCATGAGAGAGGCCATTAATGACCCATGGACACTGCAAGGGCTGGAATGGACAATTTTATTTTGCTTTAATAAGATTCCTTTTTTTATATAAGTTTCTATTAACCATTTGGTGATGTTTTGTTCCATTGTCCCACTTGGGGCCTGAGTAACCTAATTATAGTTAACAAGGTGTAGAGCTGGATGAACACAGCAGGCCAGGCAGCATCAGAGGAGCAGGAAAGCTGACGTTGCGGGTCTGGACCCTTC